CGAGTGTGAGCGACACTGTGTGCGACCACATTTTGAGTCTCCCATTTACCAGTCGATGAGGGTTGGGTCGTCTCCACTTTTTGGCTCTTTTGAATTATGCTGCTGTGAACATTTGTGTGTAAGTTTGTAGGCGGCCATAAGTCTTCAGTGCTCTTGGGTCTGTTTCCCTTTAAATTGTATCACTTAATTCAACAGGTAAGCAGGGTTTGTCAGGCACCTGTGCTCACATATTAATCAGGAGTCTGGATCTCTTCTGACAATTCTTTAGATTTTGCCTTCCTAAATATTTTAATAAATACAGGAAAAAAATGGAAGGGAACATTCAGGATGTCTTTGACACCTCTGATGGTCTTTGAGATTGCCCAGGGGAGCCCTGGGAAATCACAGACATTTGTTTTTGCACCTCATTAAGAGAGATGCCAGGAACGAGTGGGTTTGTGTGATGAGTTAGATTTGCATGAGGAGAGTTGGCAGATCAGAAGACATAGATGTTCAGCCTTCCTGAGGCTAAGCTTATATGGACGAACTGTTAGCGTATTTTAGACATTGTACGTTTTACGGAGAGTCCCTGGCGGGTTTGTCAGTCCCCACTGCCCACATATGTTTACCCTCAGGGGAAACACTCATTAAAGTCATGAAATAGCTCTGTACTGTATCCTGATGGAGAAACGTCCGTCCTCCGCGCTGACATTATTGGTTAGAGCAGCGGTTCTCAACCTTCCTAATGCCATGACCCCTTAATACAGTTCCTCATGTTGTGGTGACCCCCAACCATAACATTATTTTCGTTGCTACTTCATAACTGTCGTGTTGCTACTGTTATGAATCGTCATGTAAATATCTGATGTTCAGGATGGTCTTAGGCGAACCCTGTGAACGGGTCGTTCGACCGCCAAAGGGGTCACGGCCCACAGGTCGAGAACCCCTGCTTTAAAGGATGGACTCTGGGTGCAGGCCTCGGAGCTGCCATGACTTAAGCAGCTCTCAGACTATCCCTTCGACCAAGGACCGAGCCGGGATGTCCAGGGCTCGTCTCAGTCCAGAAGCAGATGGCTTCGTGAAAGCGGACGCTAACCCCAGATCCAGCGGAACGGGAGTGGACTAGGTGGGAGTGCGGGAAGGGGTGCAGGAGTTCCCTGTGGGTATTTAAACTCTTGCTCCTGTTGATTTAATGCTGGGTTTTCTGGCTCTGTGAGGAAGCCTCGTCTTTTTCAGCTCCCTGTAACCCACACCAATGTTGTAGACTCTGCTCTTGTAAACGGAAATAAAACTTTTCAAAATTACCTTTGGTTTTTCATTGGTGTGCAGTGGCCTCTCATTGTGTTTTTTAAAAATACACATTTTTATTGATTTCCGAGAGGAAGGTTGAGGGAGAGAGTTGGAAACGTCAATGATGAGAGGGAATCATTCATCAGCTGCCTCCTGCACGCCCCACAAGGAGGATCGAGCTGCCACCTGAGCACGTGCCCTCACTGGGAATCGAACCGTGACCTCCTGATTCATAGGTCGATGCTCAACCACTGAGCCACGCCTGCTGGGCTCATTGTGGTTTTGCATTTCCCTGATGGTTAATGATGTCCATCACCTTTTACACATGTGTTTGCTATTGATATATGCTCTTCCGTGAGGTGTCAGGAGGTAAGATGTTGAGGTACTTGCACACCATTCGTTCCAAGCTTCCCATGCTACAGATGGGGGACTTGAGACCCAAGTGGGGGTGTCTGACCAAGTTCTCCCAGCAGACGGTGGTCTCTGAATGAAGCAGAGGACGGGTGTAAGGAGGAACGAGCCCCTGAGCCAGGCTTCTGGGCCGTTTCCAGCACCTCCATCTCTTGAGCATCCGCCCAGCCCCTGCCATGGGATCCGTGTGTGCAGGTGAGCCGCCGGGGTGGGGCAGACAGAATTGTTCCCTTGGGGTGTCAGCCAGGTTTGGAGGGCTCACGTTCCCAACACAGGAGGCAGGGGACCAGGTGGCGTCCTCTCTGAGGGGTGGCAGGGGTGTAGGATTTCACAGATTTGGAACCAACCGGGTCTTTATGAGCCCTGGGCAGCCCCAGGATGCCCGGCTGGAGGTAGAGGCAGCAGCCCCAGTGAATGTACCCCCACAGTTGCCCCTTGGCCGTGCTGTGTGCCAGGCACGGTGCTACGTGTGTGTGCACCTTGGATGCCTCCGTCCTCACAGGAACACGGAGGAAGACGCGTCCTCACCGCACCTCATGCTGTGACAGGAAGGTGCGTGGCAGGACCATGTTTCTGCCTGTGTGTTTACTTCCTGTGGCTGCTGTAACCAACGACCACAAACTTGGTGGCTTAAAACAACATGGATGCTCTTTCCTGCAGCCCTGGGCGTCGGAAGTCCACAATGGGCTGCAGCCGAGGAGCCGCAGGCTTTCCGGGGGGATCTGGTCCTGCCTGGCCTGGCTTCCAGGTGCTTCCCGCCTCCACCTGGAAGGCTGGCTGAGCCTCTCGTGCGCGTCACTCTGACCTGCCTTTGTCTTCCGCACCCAGGCACCCTCCGATGCGCAGGCCCACCCGGATCACCCAGGACACGCTCCCTAAGGCCAGCTGCTTGGAACAAAGCCTTAGTTCTGCTTTGCCGGGTAACAGTGGGTTTGCTACGTCTGGGGATTAGGGCTCAGACGTGTTCCGGGGCCATTGCTCTGGGGAGTTGAGGGGCCCTAGGTGAGGAGGAGATTTGACTTCAGAGAGGAAGGTAGAGGGAGAGAGAGTTTGAAACATCAATGAAGAGAGAGAATCATCGATCAGCAGGAGTGTGGGTTGAGCAGGTGTTGGCACAGCGATAGGGTGGGAGCATCCCTCTTGAGGTAGTTCTAGCTGGGCGTGGGGTGGGGTGGGGTGCTGGGGGGCAGGTGGCCAGAACACACATGGGGCCCAGGGTCATAGTGCTGTGGAGAAAGATATGCCTGGAGGTGCTATGGCGTTGGGGGGAGGGGGCAAAGGGGAACGGGGGTTGCGGGCCTCACTGAGAAGGTGCCAGTTGAGCCAAGAGGAAAGGAGGAGAAGGAGGCGTCAGATATCAATGATGAGAGAGAATCATGGATTGGCTGCCTCCTGCACGCACCTCACTGGGGATCGAGCCGCAACCCTGGGCACGTGCCCTGACGGGGAATCGAACCATGAGCTCCTGGTTCACAGGTCGATGCTGCACCACGGGGCCACGCCGGCTGGGCCTTGGGCTTTATTTCTCGCGTCTCCCTCCCTTGACTGACTGCACTTCCTCCCTATGACCTGGCTCCCTCTGGCTTTGGTGCCACTGTTTCTGCTGATTGTCATGGTATCTGCTCTTCCCAGCATCGGCCCAGGCTTGGTTTCAGACTGCCATGTGCCACCTCTGACCCTCGGGGCTGTGTCACCAACTAGCTTCAGTACCGCATGTCCCACCGAGAGCCCTGGGCCTCAACCCGAGATCCTGGGGCTCTCGCCGGCCAGATGTCCACGCTTGGCCCAGGCGGCCGTGGGCGGGGGGACGGAGGTCAGACGGTGACTCACTGGGCTGCGCCGTCCGGGCTGTGAGCAGGGAGGCTTCTCTTAGCTCAGCAAGGCGTGTGGCCGGGAAAGAGGGGGCTGAGGTCCGACCCAGCCACACCCACCCCGTGGAGGCCTATTGCTCCCCACGGGTTCCTGGCCCTCAGAGGGAGGACAGCGCCCAAGGTGACCTCGGAGTCTGCCCAGCCTGCCGTTGAGTCCTAGCCCTGCCCCTTGGGAGGTGTATCACCTTGAACAAGTTACTTAATGCCTCTGAACTTTAATTTATTCCTCCGAAAACAGGACCCATCTCATGGGATGGTTGTGGGATCGCACGAGGAAATGTCAAACGCACCTTGTAGACAGTCAATAAGCGAGAGCATTAAAAACAGCAGTTCTCTGCCCTCGCATCTCAGAGAGCCCCGTGGCCCCGAAGGCTGAGCGCGTCCCACACCTGGGGCATCTGAGGGGTGGTGTGAGGTGAAGCGCCCTCTGAGGAGGAGAAGTTCAGTTGGTGGTGGTCCCGCACCCCCGGCTGACTGGGGGGCTCACTCTGCCCCACTGTGCCCCAGCCCATGGCCTCCCTACTGTAGAGAGAGAATGGGGCTCTGGTCTGCGGGAGGCGTGCCCTGGCTCTGGCCCCAACTGGCCATGAGACTCGGGGCTCGTTATTATCTCCAGTTTCCTTGTCTGTGCAGAGGAGACAACCCCAGCACCTCGCCAAAGGGTTAAGAGAAACCCCTCAGATAGACTGTTTAGCACAATCCCGGAGATGGAGGAACAAGCAAGGAGCAGAGAAGTGACAGGGGATGGAGGCAGGCGGTGACTCCTAAGGGACAGCCCAGAGCTCTGGGGTCCCACGGGCCCGTTTCCAGCGGTTACGCCCCAGTTGGGGGTCCTGACGCCCCTCCCCGCCCACGGAGCCCAGGCTCCCCCCTCGTCAGGAGCGCTCGACCAGCAGACGTTTCCACTTTATTGACTGTAAACTCTTCTTTGGTAAACAAGAGGACAAGAAGCCCGGAGAGGAGCATGCTGAGCGGAGAAGACGGGGGAGGGCGGTGCCCTCCGCACACAGGCTCTGAGGGGACAGCTACACCATCAGCAAGTGCGGGGCGGGCGGTGGCCTGCGGGGAGGCGCCGGGAGCAGGAGGGAAGGGTCCACCCAGCTGGACACGGAAGCCTACGTCACACAGCCAGTGCGCTCATGCATCACCGCGAAGAGAAGCTGGGGACCCCCCACCGCGCCCTGCCCACCTCCCAGGCTTGGTTGGAGCCCCTGGCAGGCGGAGCTTAGCCGGTCAGGGCTGGGCTGGAGGGGGGCTTCGGGGGGCCTGTCAGCTGCCCATCCTCGTCTCTCCTTTCCTGCTGTGCAGGTGGCAGGGGCCTGGGGAGGAGCGCCCAAGATCCCGGGGTCGGGGGAGGGGTGTCAGGGCCGCGGGGCAGGGTCTGGTGGGGGAGGAGAGGCCGCCTCTGTGGCCCCTCTAGAGGGGGTGGAAGTTGGGATGTTAGAGTTTTCACTGAGCAAAAGGAGAGAATATACCCCAAATTCTTCCTGGAGTCCCAGGAGACACTAACCAGGGCCACGAACAGGAAGGGCCACCTGGAGGGTCTCGGGCTGAAAGGGGATGGAAGCAAGAACTGGGCATTTGGGTACTGAACAGGTTCATCTCCTAGCAGACACAGAGAGAGGGTGAGAGCCGGCCCCGGGGTGGCCGCAGAAACCGCCCATCGGCTCACCCACAGCGCAGGGCGGGCCCTGCCGCGGACCCCGTCGCAGTGGGGGTGGCCTAGAGGGGTGCAAAGCCCGGGTCCAAAGCCCTTGTTCACTCCCTGGCGCGTTGCTTCAGGGAAAGGGTTCTTCCTGAGTCTCAGCGGCCTGGCCTGTGGAATGGGCACACTCATGGCCCTCGCCTCGGGAGGTGTCGCGACGACTAGACGAGGCTCCGTACCTGACTCGGAGCACGGATCCCAAGAAGGGCAGCTATGGTGATGACAGCCGTCACCTGTGCCAGCCTCTACAAGTCCCGCCACCTCCCCCCCACGGGCCGCCTTTGTCACTCTGTGTCCCTGCGGGCGAGGGAGAGGGTGCCGGGAAGCTCCCTGGCCTTGCCTCCAGGCCCCTGGACACACTTCCTAAGCCTAAGGAATTCTGACCCGTGTCCTCCAGCAGCACCGCTGGCCAGCTCTCCCTGCTCACGGGCTCCCTGAGGCTTTCGGGGGCTCCATGACAGGGGACTGTGGACACAGCCCTCAGCCCAGAGCCTCCTGGTGCCTGGAGGCAGCATTCAGCGCTGGGGGTGCCCTATGGGGGACGCGGGCGCACCCGCTTTATTGCACTTTGTTGTGCTTCAGATGTTGTGGGGTGTTTTTTTTGTTTGTTTTTAACTGAAGGCAAGACTCTCCACCAGCAAGAAGGTTATGGCTGGCTTTACTGAGATGCTGGCCTTTTCTGTGGAAGCCGGCAGCGCCCCGCAGTTTCAGAGGCGTGTCTGCCCTCGCTTTGTAGTCACTGCTTTGGATGCAGACAGCCAATGGGTCTGAAATATGGCAACGTCATCTCCAACCCTGGAAAATCACTTAGGCAGCTGTCGTTCCCCCTCCTCCTCCTCCTCCTCTGGTATTGAAAATGTCCATAGATATTTTTTAAAGAATAGTTTTCACCCGGGCCGGTGTTGGCCCACACACGGATGGGTCTCAGGTTCGATTCCCGGTCAAGGGCGGGTACTGGGACTGTGGGTTCGATCCCAGGCCCCAGTCTGGGCATGTGTGGGAGGCAGCCAATCCGCCAATCCATGTGTCTCACACTGATTTTCTCTCTCCTTTCCTCCACCCCTTCCACTTTCTCTAAAAATCAATGGGAAAATATCCTCAGGTGAGGAATAACAAGAATAATTCTCCTTCTAGGCTGAGGGGTCATGATCCCCATTCTGTTCTGGAGAAAACCGAGCTATCAGGCTAAGGCATGTACCAAAGGACTGGCCAGCTCACAGCCGTAATCACCCCTAGTCCCCGAGTCCCGGAGTCTCTCTCTCCACCTGGCTCACCTGGCCTCAGTCTCCCCCTTTTCGGCGTTGTTTCCGAGCACCCCCTCCTGTCAGGGGCACCCGACCCACAGGCACTCTGCAGGCCTCTCCAGCTTTGGGGGACATCTTCCCTGAAGCTGTGAGGTCCCTCATAACAGTGGGGTGTGCCTGAGTAGGAACCATGGATGGGACCCCAAATACGAACTCCCAGCTTGAGCAGACACCCCTCCGCCCCGTGCAGTGCGGCCTCAGGAGGTGGCAGCCTCGAGGGAGGGGCTGTCAGCGTCCTGTGTCTGAAAGCGTTGCTGGAGCTGGGGAGGCCTTGCACGCATGGCAGCTGCCTTCGGAGGTAAGACGGACGCCTGGTCCCACCCGCCTGTCCCCCAGGAGCCGCCAGCATCATTCTGCTCGGTTGCCGACAGCCCCTGCTCCATCAAAACGGCACGTGCATCTGCCCCTGGGTTCACCAAGAGCAGCCGTGCCCTTCCCAGCGCGGGGGCTGTCTCCCAGCACGCAGCTCTCTCCCCACGGATTGGCTCTCTGCGTCCCCAGGCGCCAGGTCCGAGCCGGCTGCAGGCGGAAGGCGCCCAGGGAAACTTTAGGAATCCCTGGTTTTCTCACTGTCAGCGCCTGACTCACACTGTGCTTCCCCGTCTGGAGCGACCCTGTGCCGCCTGGGAGTTCCTGCGGTGGTGAGAGAGCCTCGCAGGCCATGACCGGGAAAGCCAGGTCAGGCCGGAGGGTGGACGCCTGCCTTCAGGGTCCATCACCTCGGGCGCGATGCCTCATCGATACAATTACAGGTCAAGAGACTTCACATTGTGATGCCCCACTCTCCTCGGTACGTGGAAGTGCGGCAATAATTTCCCCCTAGAATCTGGTGCCTGGAAAAAGCCTGCCATGTCCAGACGCTTGGGGGGATGCTCCTCCTTCCTAGGAAAACACGCCCTGCCCCTGTCAGGCAGCCGTGGGCACCACCGAGGAAAAATAAACCTGGGACGAAAGGCATGGAGGGTGATACTCAGGGAACAGATAGAGAGGCCGGAAAGCAATCAGGAAGGGAGGCGGACTGAGAGGCTGCAATGATCCCCTCCCCCGAAACTGAGCAGTAAATCTAGCTCTTGCCTGGCAGCCATGGCAGTTACACAGGCAAGATATTGCAGAGCGCCCGCCTTCTGATGAAACAGCCAACAGCCAACCTTTGGCTCAGAGGAAGACGTTTCCAGGAGGTGAAGGAGGGTGGCTGCAAAGCCTCACCTCTGGTTTCCTGCCCCTC